TAAGAATTGATGCACAAAAACTTGTAACCAAACGACATATATATATATATATATATGCTTGGGGAAGCATATATATATATATATATATGCTTCCCCAAGCATATAAAAAGAGGGCTCTGTGCCCACCCGGGGTCACACAGTGGCCGGGGCCAATAGGAAAGGGTGTCAGGTGGGGGGGGACTCCTCCTGCTGGAGGCTTTTCAAAGCCCCTCCCTGAGCACTTTGGTCACAGAAGCCCTTTGGGAAGGGAGGAGGTTGAGCTTTGAATGCGGTGCTACCAAGGAGGGGCACACGGGCCCGAGAAGACACCCACAGGCCTGGCAAGGCTGGCAGGCTGCTCTGCAGATCGCAGAAACCTGGGCAGGAATTCTGGGGGGCTCCTTCCAAGGTGAGTGTGCGGGGAGGAAGTGGGCCTCTGGGGGGGCAGAGCAGAAGGTGGCCATTGGATCCTCAGGTTAGCGTAACGTCCAGGGCTGGACTGGGGCTCTGTCCCCACTCAAAAGTGTTGCCCTTCATTATTGCAAAGATCGGACCACCCTTCTGGCCCCAGAGGAGGAGGGGGCACTCAAAGGCTGATGCCCACCATCGCCAGGACAAGCAGATGCCAGGGCTGCAATGGCAGCGCACCAGGAAGGCAGCTGCAGCCCCCCTTCTACTCATCGGCACTCCAAAATGCAGTTAATCCCAAGGACGCACCTTTGGTTCAAAGGAGGACTGAATGCCAAGGAGCGGCGGAAGAGGCTGCTTGTGCCAAGCATGTGGCGACGGCAGAAACAAGGGAGGGAAGCAAGGGGCCTCTGCAGACGCCAAGCTAGGCCCCATCCCTCCTTGGGGGCTTCTTTTGCAGGTGCCAACCGCCCTCAGAGGAAAGGCCCCGTTCTGGGCCAAAGGGAAAGCTGAGGATCCGCCAAGGGCTCCTGGTGATCCCACCTGGCAAAGGCCAAGCAGGCCGCAAAGCTCCTATACTTTTCAGTGCAGGCCCAGGGGGGGACTTGGCGGCCATGAAGGGCAGCTCTTCCCAAGGCTCCCCGAAGCAGCCCTGGAGGGAAGGCGGCGGCGGCGGCGGCGGCGGCGGCGGCGGGGCGCCTTCTCAAAAGGCCGCTCCGGCCGAGCGGCTCCGCCAGGGACTCCGCTCCCGCCGCCGACAGCACCAAGCGGCCGCATCCGACGCCGGCCAGAGCTCCCTCCCTTGCAGACGCCGCGCCAGCCCGACTTCCCCGGCCGGTTCCGAGCGTGCCCGCCCTCGCCGAATGAGCCGGAGCCAAGGCAGCCGCGGCAAGAGCGTCCCTCCCACCGCCTCGCCAGGGGGACGGAGAGGCGGCGAGAGCTCCTTGCTCGGCCTGGCTGCCCTCCCGGGGCTCTCCGCGCTCCAGCTCCGGCGGGGAGGCAGACGGGAAAGGCAGGCAGAGCCGGAGCCAAAGCGCCCGCCGGCAGCTGGACGCCGCGCTCCTCCCGCGGGACCCGGCGCTGCCCACGGAGCGGCGGACTCGGGGGCGGCTGCCACGCAACGCGACCCCCGCTTCTGCTCGTCCCCGGGCCCGCCCCGCACCTACCGCCGACAGCTGGGCTTCCCAGGCAGCCTGATGCGCCGGATCGCTCGCTCGCCCCGCCCGGAGCAGCCAAGCCCCGCCCGCCCGCGCCCAGGCTGGTTCCCTCCCTCCGGGAGCCAAGCGGGAACACCCCCACCCACCCCCCGCCCAGCCGCGCTGGAAGCGGCTCCCAGGAGTCGTCCCGGCGGCGCCTTTCCCGGGTGGGGCGCGGAGGGGAGGCGGCGGGAGAGCCGTTCCGTCCGGCCCGCCTCCACTGCCCCCCCCCGCGCCCTGACCCCTCCCGCTCATCGGGAATCCTGGGCGTTGCAGTGCGGCGCCGTGGCCGCCGATACCTGCTTGCCGGCCGCTTCCGCGCCCAGGTTGACGGTCGGCCCTTGTGGCTCCCCCCGGCGGCCGCCTGCCACAACCCGCCGCGGCTCTTTGGCTCCTTGCGCTGGGGGCGGTCGGGGAGGGGGGGGCACCGTTCCTGACTTCTTCGGCTATTGGCCCACGGGACGACCGGCCCGCCCTGTGTCCCCGGGCCAGTCCCGAAACGCCCCGCAGCCCTCGGAGGCCGCTCGTAAGAAGGCTGCTTGCCAGCGCTCCGGGTGGGAGGGGGCTGGCCGCAACCTTCGAAAACCTTCCTGCAAAATCCCCCCCCCCCTCCTCCCGCAGGACTCTGGGAGAGGAGGCTCAGGTGGTGCGACCCTCCCCTTCCAGGTGGGCTTTCCCTGCCGCCTTGGGCTCCCTCCCTCCAAGCCCCTGGGTGCAGCCTGGCGTTCCCTGGGGAGCCATGCGTGGGGGTCACCAGCAGAGGTGGGGGTCAGCAGGCAGGTCAGGGCGGAAGCCTGGAGAGTCCCTGGACAAACATGCCCTCAAATCAGTCTGCAAATGATAATGAGTTTATTAACGATGCAACAGGTCCGGTGCCACCTGGACACTCAGGGGAGTCAGTGTGGCCTGGGTGTGGTGCCCTCGGCTCCCGGAAAGACCAGTGGGCTGACTGTGGTTGCTAAGAGCCCCCCAACTCTGTCACAAACTCCCCCTCCCCAGCGGGCTCTGCCTTGGCTGCCCTCAGGGCTCCGTACAGCTCAGTAACAGCAAGATGGCGTTTATTAAGGAAGTGGGCCTTGGCAGCGAGGAACAGTCTATATATTTAATGTCTAGAAAGGTATCTGTCCGGGCCTCGGGGGGCCGTCTCTCCGCTGCGCCGGCCCTCTCCCTGGCCAAGGGTCCGGAGCTAGTGGTGGCTGGCCACGTGTTGCAGGTAGGGCTGCAGCGGGTGGCGGTTCCGGGGGGCGTGCAGCACGGCCTTGAGCGGGACTCTTTCCATGCTGTGTTCAGCCAGCCAGTCCTCGCTGGGCAGCCAGGGGTTGGGCCCAGGCAACGGCACGGCCGGTTCAAAGGCTTCCGACTGGCCTAGCTGCCAAAGAGAAACAGAGCGTTACTGGGGGAGGGGGCCCGGGGTGGGGCCGAAGGACTCTGGGCAAGGCCCCGGGCAGAATCGGAGGGGCGGCTGGGGGGTGCCTGGGTTCCTGGAAGGGGTTTTGCATCATCTTCCTCTTCTTCATCATCTTGCCAAGATTGATCGGCTTCCACCCACCCGCCCCCCTCTGCAAACCAGGAAGGGCCGGGCTGGTCTGCTGGGAAGAGGGCACTTTGCCCAGCTTCATGGAAGATGGGAGCGGCAAAGGCCATAAATGGGGGGGGGGTGCATGAACAGTCCAACACGAGACCCCCCTCAGGGTGACTGTGGTATGTTCCTTTTCCCCGAGGTCCATTCTGAGCCTGGAATTGCAGATTCTGTGGCTGCCTTTGCAGCCTGCCACGAGTGCCGCTGCTCCCATAACTCCCCGCAAGCCCACCAGGGGTGGGGCTGGGGGGAGCCTGATGGGCTAGGACAACCAGTGCCCCCTCTTGGCTTTGGTGATGGGCTCCTGAGCTGGACCTGCATGGACGGTGGGGAGGGGCTGAGCATTCTTCCCCAGAGATGCTGCTCAGGAGGGGTGTGAGCACGTGCCAAGACCGCCGTGTACTTGGGACACTGAGGCAGCTTCATGGGTGGCCTAGGAGAAAGGAGAGAGCCAACCCCCGGAGCGCCAGTATTGGTGTGGAGGGGGTACTGCAGACCGTCTCATGTCTGACTCAGTCCTCCTTTGAGGCCCTGTCCTCAGCCGTTGCCTACGCTCCTTTGTTAAGCCACCCATCCGCTTCTACCCTTTGTGGTTTTATGAAGTCCAGCTCACTGCTTAAATGTGTGGCCTCCGTGGACCCTCCTTGTTACCTGTGTGGTGGGCGAGAGGACAAGGCCTTTGGGGTAGCTCGCCTCCTCCCGGGCACCGGACTCCGGCAAGGAAGCGGCGCTGGCATTGCTCTCCTTCTCCCAGCTGGGGGGGTCCTCTGGGGTGTACTGCCCTAGAAGAATCAGGTTCTCGAAGGTGGGGTCTGGCTTCACGTGGTGAGAAGCCTTGTGGTGCCTGGGGCTGCCAGGCCGGCTCCGGTAGTAGGCCGGGATGGGCTCCTGCTGGGCCTGCTCATGGCGCAGCCGGAGGCTCTGCTGGGCCACTCTGTGCCGATTTGCCACCGCCTCGGCCGGGTCCGGGAGGGGATCGTAGCCTCCCCCGCTGGGCCCTTCACCCCACACTTTTAGGGGCACCTCCCGGCTGGCTTCGGCAATGCTGAGCTCGTCCATCTGGCTGGTAGTGCCCTGGATGCCGTGGGCGCTTTCCTCCCGACTGTAGAAGCGGTCCTCGTCCATGGCGCTGTAATGTTGCGTTTCCTCCTCTGACGCCTTGGCGTGGCTGGGCAGCGATTCCCGGAGGCTCCTCAGGCAGAACTGGTAGTACTGGGTGAGGTCGTAGTTCTGCTTCAGGGGTTGGGTGGAAATGTAGGGGTGCTTCAGGGCTGCGCTGGGGGTGATGCGCTCATGAGAGTCCCAGGTCAGCATGCGTTTGATGAGCTCCACCATGCTCCGGAGGTCAAAGTATTCAGCCAGGGCTTCTGTGTCTGGGTAGATCATCTTGTGGACGTTCACCGTCTCCATCTGGTCCAGGGACTTGAGCACGTACTTTCTCCTCTCCACAGACTTCACTTTGGTGTCAGCCAGATACTCCGCTGGGGTTTTGAGCTGCCAGGAGTTCACCACCTCAGGGTGTTGGCTCCTCTTGAAGAAGAGGTGGGCCTTTCGGGCTGCGTTCAGGAGGGCGGGCCTGGGCATGCCTTGGGTCTCACAGATGTATCGGATTTGGTCGTACTCATTGTTCCCAGGGTAGAGGGGCCAGCCGAGGTGCAGTTCGGCCATCACGCAGCCCAGGGACCACATGTCCAGCTTCTCGCAGAACGGCAGCCCCAGCAAGATTTCTGGGGCCCGGTAGAATCGGGACTGGATGTAAGGCTCTTTGACGTAGCGCACTTCGTTGAAGATGCTGGCCGATCCAAAATCAATCACCTTGACCCGGAAAGGGTACCTCACCTGGTCCACCAGCATGATATTCTCCGGCTTTAGGTCAGCGTGGATGATTGACAGCTCTTTCAACTTGGCCAGGGCTCTCAGCACCTGCGTGGTCACTGTGCGGATGTGCCGGACCGGCAACGAGGAGAAGTTGTGCTCTTTCTGGAAGTCGAAGAGGTTTTGCTCCAGGAGCTCAAAGACCAGGTAGAACTTGAGCTCGTCGTGGAAGAACTCGTGGAACTGGACGATGTGGGACTCCTCAGAGTCCACCTCGGACATGGTCTGCAGCAGCTTCAGCTCGTTCTTGATGATTCTGCTGCGGTAGGAGTCATTCTTCAGGATTTTTATGGCGACCATCTCCCCCGTGCTCCGTTTCCAGCTCTTCACCACCTCCCCAAACGTGCCCTTCCCCAGAATCTCAAAGACGTCATAGAAATCGGACTCTGACTCGATTGTGACCATTGTCCTGGGCTTGCCCAAGCTCAGAAAGATGGGTGCAAAGTGGCTTCTTGCAAAGAGAGGTCCGGCCGCCGCGGAGCAAAGAGAATCCCAGCCTCCTCCGGAATAGGAGGTGATGCAACAGTCAGCCGGGTTCCAGAGTTGCCAGGTGAAGAAAGTTCTGTTATGGAGGCAGGGAGCCCACTCCTCCTGGGGTCTCCCAACAGCTCTTTCCCAGGAGCTGCTCCAAGGAGGAGAAGCAGCCCTGTGCAGGCCCCGAGGAACACCTCCGCGGCGCCAGCCAAAGGCTTCCTTTTAGCCAAGGGTGAGTACTGCAAGCGGATGGGCTGAAGAGACGTTTGCAGAGTGGAATGGACGTTCCACGGTGAGCGGAGGGACGTGGCTCTCTCAGAGGAAGCCCTCTTTCACCCCACACCCCGTCCTCATGTTCCGAGTGTGCCTTGAGCGAAGGACCAGCAAAGGGTCTCCCACTTCCCTGGTGGAGATGGAACGTTCAGTCCCAGATTATTAACATGGCCTCAGAGGATTTGGTCTAATCAGTTTGATAATTTAATTTAATTATGCAGAACTTTATACGAGGACCACACGCTTCTTTTAGTGTCCCCAAGGAGAGGACTCCCTCTGTAACAAGCTGGCTGCCCTCAAGGGCTCCCTGAAGGCCAAAGGGGGGGGGGAAATGGTTGCCGAGAGAAAGGACCTGTTCGCCCTCCAAAAGCAGCACCAAACACCCTGGAGGGGGCAGAAAGCCCCCTTGTAGTTAGGTTCAATTCTAAAGGGCCAGATGTTTGCCGGCCCCTCACCAGGAGAAGAAGCCCCAGTCAAGAAGCTTCGGGTGGCTTGAGGCCAGCAAAGGCAGCTTGCTGAAAGACTGATTGATGAATGCATCACCGCACGTGGCCCCAGATGCCCAAAGGCCCAAGAAAGAGCATCGGCTGCTGGCTCCTCTCCCTCGCCTCCCGACACAGTATCAAAAGCTTGGCTTCCTTCTCTGAGAAGGCCCTGGCATCCAAGATGGAGGAGGTCCTGGTTTCTGCCGCTTAGGGGGTGAGGGCATTTCGGGCACAGAAATTTGCTTTGGAGTTGGCTCACTTCAGGTCCCCAACAGCAGGTGACCGGTGAAAGGGCAGAAGAAGCCAGGACCTCTGGGTGCCAGAAGTGATTGACTGATGCCAAAGGGAAGAGGAAGAGGAAGGACAAGGGAAGGGACCACAGAGCCCTTGGCTACTTTGACTGCTGGGCTGGTTCTGTGCAGAGCTGGGCAAAAGTGATGTATCCAAGGAGACCCCAAAGATGAAATGTGATGCAAACGTAATGGAATTAATTCACAGATTAATGTTTATTCAAACTCAGGGTAGAAAACAAGCAGCAGCCGTAGAAGAGGCCATCTGAGATTGGGTCACCACTTTTACACGTTTTAGAAAAGGTCAGTTTATAATTTTGGGAAAGAAGCAGTTATCAGACCTTTCAGTTTAAAGGACAGTTCAGAACGCCACATTGGTTAAACGTTAGAATCAAAGATTTCTGTACATCCAGAGCACTTGGCATCATTTTGCCCTGTCTAAGAAGAGGGCGAGACCACCTAAACTGCCCTTACTCTCCCAATTTCCCAGGGCCCGTGATCCCCCCCCCTGGTGCCACAGAAAGGTGGGCTATTCCCAGGTGCTACCTTTGAACAAGAAGGCCGGGAGAGGGGGGACAGTGGAAGCAGCGCCCCTGGGCAGCCCTTTGCTCCCCGCAGGCTCAGGGTCTTCTTCCCGCAGGGGCGTCTCCCACCAGTCCTCCAGGTGAGGGGCGTCTCCTTGTTTGCAGCCTCCAGGTGAGGTGTGCCCTGCCCCTGAGCGTGGTCACCTGCCCTGAGGGTCCCTTTTGCTCATCCCATGGAACAGCCCCAGCTGCTTCCCCACTCAAAGCTTCACCCACCCACCCACCCACCCACAATTAGTCTCATCAAAGGAGCTGGGGAGTGAGGCTGTCTTCTCATGGAAAAAGGAAGGCCGGTCCTTTGTCCCAAATGCAGCCTGTGCCCGGGAGGCAGGGGGCAGCATCTGATGGGTTTGCCAGGTCTGCATCCCTTCCTGGGCTGGCTTCCTCGTTTAAGGCGCAGCCCCGGAGCAAAGGAGGAAGGCCGTGGGGGCAGTTAAAACGGGGAGGCCATCGGAGAGGCGGCTCTACACCTGTGCCAACCAGCCCCCTCCCTCTGCCAAGGCATGCCCCCCCCCGCTGTTAGTACTGGACCTTACATGGTGTGAGCCAGGCACCTCCATTCAGAGTGCCTCCTTTTCCAGAGGCTTCCTGGGAGGGGGCTCTCCCTCCTGGGGGCCACTCTCTGCAGAGAAAGCCACAGCAGGAAGCCTGAAGTTGCCCCCTGATCCGCCCTGGTCCTGCTGGTGCTCAGAGATCTCCAGCACCTCTTGGGATCTGGAGCTTAATGCCACTTTTGGAAACCTGAACTTGGACGGGTCCCCTTTGAAGGTTGTTTTCAAAGATGCCCCCCCTGCTTGGGGCCCGGCTGCAGCTACGGCCTCGGGGGCCACCCCCCCATTGTGCTTCTTGAAGCCAGAGAGGGTGATCCTGGGGGGCTTGAATTTGGCAGCCTTGAGGGCGGTGGCAGCAGTGGTGCCATGGGGGGCCTCCTCCTTGGCCTCCTCGGCCTTCACCAGCTGGACGCTCAGCTCTGGGTCGTTCTCGGCCCCCTTAGAGGGAGACAGGAGTTCTACCTGGGGCAGCAGGAGCTTCCCCAACTTGCTCGTCCCATCCTGGAGCAGCACCTCCACCCTCTCTCCCTGGAGCTGGGCGGTGTCCTCCGCCTTCGAGAAGCCCTGCCTGGGCCCCTTCAGCCTTGGGGAGGCCTTCTCCGCTTCCCCGTTGAGTTCGGCGTTGCCCTTGGGCCTGGAGAGGGAGACCCCGAAGGGGGGCCTCAGCTTGAGTTTGACAGCTTTGTCCTGGCACCCCTCTTCCCTTGCCAGGAGCCCAGCAGACCCTTCCTTCTCCTTGGGCCACCCCAGGGCCAGGAGGCCCCCCTTGGCTTCCGCCTCCTGCTCCACAAGGCCCCCGGGAGCCCCCAGCCCCGCCCTGGGCAGGAAGAGCCCAAGCGTGGGTATCTTCACCCGGTGCCACTTCCCTGAATCCGAGTGGCCGTCTGTCCGCTTCCAGCCCTCCCTCTCTGCGCCTTCCAGATCCAAGGCCCCCCTCTGCCGCATGTGGGGGCCCCCCACCTCATATTCAGCCTGAGGTTTGAGACTTGGAGCAGAAATTTCCAAGCCAGGGACCTTAAAAACTGATTTCTTCCCTTCTGGCTGCCCCCCACCCACAGCCCTCTGGCTTGGAGAAGTAGCGCTCTCTGTGCCCCCCTTGGTGCCTTCTGCCTCACACGCAGCAATACCGATTTTGGGCATCTTCAGCATGCCCTCCAGCCCCACCTCCGTTGCCCCTGCCGACTTGGCCTTCTCCCTCCTCTCCTGATCCCCAGAGAAGCTGACATCCAGCAAAGCAATCTGGGGCACCCTGAAGGCAGGCGCTGCCTCCTCGGCAGGGGGGCAGAGGGGCTGGGCATCCAGGCTCAACTCGGCCTCCGGCTTGGAGACACTGAGCGATGGGAGCTTCAGCCTGAATCTGCTCCCCTCGGTTCCCATCCCAGCCTCTGTTTCCAGCTTGCCGAGAGGCAGAGCGGGCGCCTTCAGCCGGCTCTCTTTCGCCCCCGTTTCAGAGTCCAAGGCATCTGCGCTTCCTCTGAGTTTGGGAGGCTTCAGCTCCAGTTGGGGGACCCGGGGCAAATCCTCCTCGCCCTGCCCATCCCCCGCTGAGCCCAGGCCCCCAAGTGTAGGCCACTTGACGGAAGGAGTGCCCACTGTGACTTGGGGCACCAGCCCTCCCCCATCCAAACCCATATCAAGCTCCAGCTGGGGAGCCTTCATTTTTGGGGCGCTGAGTTTCGACAGCCCCATTGAAGGCATCTTGACCTTTGCTTCTGGCCCTTCCAGGCCAAGATCCTCCACCTCTGGCAGCCAGGCCTTGGGCAAGGAAATGTCCACTTTGGGCAGCCGTACCTTGGTGCCCAGGGCAGAGGCTTCAGCCACCCCGCCTAGGTCTTTCTCTCCTCCCTTCCCCAGCAACTGCATGGCTGCCTCTGCCTCTTCTTCCTTCTCCTCACCCTTCCCAAGTTTTGCCAGCTCCACCTTTGGCAGCCTGGCCTTGGCACCTGTGCCTGCCTGGAGAACGGCCTCTTCTTTGCAAGCCATGGGCAAAGCAATGTCCAGCTCTAATGTGGGAGCAGACACCTGGATGGGAGGCGCTGTGGGCCTCTTAAGCTCCCCCTCCTGCTGCTGGCGCTCTGCCTCGGCAGCATCTCCCGCCCGTCTCGCCACGCTTGCCCCCACTTCAGCTTTGGAACTTGGCCCAGCGATCTCCACCGATGGCACCTGAACTCTGAACCCGGGGCTCTCCGGCCCTGGGATCAGCCCGGCAAGCTTTGGCAACTCTACCTGGGGGAGGGCTTTCTCATCCAGCTCTGGAGCTAGAAGGTGGGCCTTCCTTCTCTCTCCTTGGGCCTTCAGAGAGGAAAGCTTCAGCTGGGGCATCTTCCCAAAGGGGCCCTTTGGCTTCTCCTTCGGACTCCCAGGGGCCTTCTTGGCTTTGGCCTCCCCTTCTCCCCTCATGAGGCCCAAAGACGCTATCCTGAACTTGGAGGCTTTGGCCTCCTTCTCCAACATCCTGGGCTCCGGCTGCCCTCTCAGGCCCCCTTTGCTCCCTTGCAGCTTCACCTCCTCACTCTCTAGGGGGGGCCCCTCTTCTTCCTCGCCTTTGCCCCCAAAGCTCAGCAGGGATAGTTTTGGCCCTTTAAACTGGGCCCCGAGGAGTTCCGGAGAGGTTCCCTCCCTGTCCCCGCCAGCCCAGCCTTCCGTGCCTTGTGGGCAGCCAATATCCACCACCTCCACCAAGGGCAGGCCCATTCTGCTCCCCGTCCTTTGGCCGAGCCGTTCCTTGGGCGCTTCCCCTCCAACCTC